CGGTTAACCATAGAATATTTTCTATTGTTAATGAATGTCTCAATAATTTACAATTGTCTCAATATACATTATTTTTTTCAACATAGGTAGTTCTTGATACGCACTGTTAGCCAGGCCACTGATTTCTTACACAGTACTCACATGAGCTTTTCGCAAGAATGTGCAGAAGATATGTCATTTCTGACTGAAAAACGCTGATATCTGCCAGAATTCGATGAAGAAATTCGGTAACAGCATCCAGCTGCTGGTTTTGCTGTGTTCCAGCAAGTACCGGTCAAAACCAAACGAAGCCGTTCATGGAATTCCTATTTCACAGTTCCTGACATTGCTCTTCATTTAATACGACGCCCGACTCATAATTCTCCGCCTGAGTAAATGAGATGCTGCAGAACAAATTTCTTTTAAAAAGACAGAGATGCGACTATTCAAAATATCGATAAAATTATCTGTATAACTATGTTGAGCATCAATTAATCTGCATCGGTTTGGTGCTTGTTTTAAGAATTAGTCGAGACTAATTGGTCCGTAAAATATGAGCTCAATATCATGCGTATTCGTTGTAGCCTACGTAGTACCTACTTTTGTACAGTACTGTACATTCCTTGGCTATCATAGTCATATTCTATACTTGTTCGATAAAATGTTTATAGCAAGCTTTAATTACTATGTAGCAGTAGTTAGCGGATTTTGAGAGAGCTCTGTATATTTTCTCGATATCTTTAAGGAGAAAATAAAATAATTCAATTTAGTTGCTTATACCCCCACCCTTTATTTGATATCTATTAAATTCAACTAATTATAAAATATAGTATAACAGTCTTTTTCTGGTAATGTTATTTAATGACTTGTCGGATTATCATTAGTTAAAGTCTTTTTATCGAGATAATTGTTTAAATCCACTTGACATTCGGCTTCATAATCTTGTTCGGGGAAGTAATCTATGCAATCATCTCGACGACGAATATCCCATGTTACTAAAATATGAAATATTCAGAGAGTTAAGAAAGAAACGATTGGTCTCAATAAGTCCTACCGCAATGAAAACCGCCACCAAATTCGTTAAGTACTCGTAAAGGACATGTAATAACATCAAAGCCAAGTTCATCGTGCAATAATCGATACAATGGCACCTCACATTCCTCGATAACAACACAATGATCATTGATTGAAAGCAAGTTCATGTTGAGATTTGCTGAACAAAGTGCAAAAGGTGCTACGTCGCTAACGTTTGGCAAAGGAGCCCATATTGGACGCCAGTCGTTATCAGTGAATAGTTTCATCTCGCTTGCTATTGGCGGAAAGTTCTGGTTAACAAGAACAATACCATGTGAACCTGATGTCGGAGGCCGGAGTGGTACTAATGCAACATCCAGATGGCGACTTCCATTAGTTGGAAAGTGCATCATGTGGAAACGAAGGTGAGGGAACGATCGACGAAGCCAGAGTAAACCTTGATTATTTGCTGTTTCTGACTTTTTATAGAAAATATCTTTGCCCATACGCATCATGTCTGCTGCGTCAAAAGCGATTTCTGTCTCGTTTAAATTTGTTTCATACCCATTTTTGGCATGAAACGAGCGATTGAACTCCAAACGACTTATCTTCTCCCAAAAGTCAATATCACGAAACATGCGTATTGGTGAACATGTGGGTTTTGGTGGCTGAATCCATTTCATTTTTGGATCACGATCCCATAACGAATACAATATGTTCTTGTAATACTCGGTTTCAAAATATCTGTTATGAGCAGCAGTAGGAGCTTCTACTATTGTATCACCCATTGTAATTATTAGATCACGAGGACATGACAAGCCGAACTGATAGCTGGACTTAAAGTGAGGTGTTGATATCTGATGATTGAAGCGTGGTAAATCATCAGAAGATGACACTGGTCGGCATACGTCTATTTTATCTTTATGTAAAATTTTACCAGTACCCGTGGAACCAGATTCTGTCAACGACGTCACTCGTCGACTAATGACCTTTCCAGCATCTTCATCTAGAGCTTCAGAGATGGAATTCGCAACTGTAACTGATTCTGCTCGAAGTAAATCTGCTAAATAGTCTAACTGATCTTGGGCTTGCTGTATACGTCGCTGCGGTCGCGGCCCTGCAATCGATCGAAGATAAGGACCCAGGTTGCTAGGTCCCGTAGTTCCCGCATACGCTGGAGTTTCATCAGGATAGCACATACCATGTACGCTTCCTACACAGACGAGTTCCAAAGGACCCCATTCAGTCCAAGAATTTACTATCACAGGTGAAGCCATATTCGTCAACTATGTGTTTTGAATGATTTTATGAGCAGCTATATACCTGAAAAATACATATTAAGTGAAGTACAACAAAGTTGAATAAAATTAACATCAACGCAATCCATAAGGGTACTTGGCTATCAAATGATAAACGGATTCAGGTAAAATTTTAATACTTATACCGCACATTTGTGTAAATAATACAAAATCGATGTATAGCAGTGAACGCGTCAAAATGAAGGTTAAACGGAAAAAACTCTATATTGGACAAAATGAAGCACACAACTCTACAGCGGTATTAGTGGTATTGTAATCATGAGTTATGATGGTGCGGCACGAAGGGTAGAAAGCATCTTAGGCTTTGATGCTATGTATGCTTTCGCAAGCGTTAAAGTTTCGTTTTTCTCTCCGTTCCGAATTACCTATCTCACACTGTTCTACAACTTTCAATCTCTCTTCCATTCGTTTTCTTTCTTCTGGCTTGTCATCCTCTGCATTGTTTGTCTGTCATAGCCTTTCTCCTTTAACTGGTTTTTGGTTAGCTACACTCTAAAAGCAATCGGTTTCTTACCGAATCCCTCAAAAAAGTTCCAGAGATTTCTAAAAGCGTCCAGAAGTGTATAAGAACCTTTTGCTGCGAAACCTTTTTTCAATGACTTTGTACACTTCTGGAAGCTTTTAGAAATCTCTGGAACGTTTTTGGGGGATTCGGTAAGAAACCGATTGTTTTTAGAGTGTACGGACCGTATATAATGTTGTTTTGAAGAGCAGTAACATTGGACCGTATACTGTGAAAATAGGGCCGTATTACGACGTTAGATTAAGCACAGTACGGTCCGTATCATTTGACCTAGGAATGATTCTTCAAATCACAACATCAATGAAAAGTATTCACATTGTATACACTGTACATTCATTCTGTATTCTATACGTTACTCAGTGATACATGTAGATGGCATTTCATGATCGTCAATTAATAATCGTAATAAATTTCATGTAACACCATTAAAAAGTCAATCCTGAAGTATCGCTATGACTTTTATTATTGAAAAAATCTTCAATAGTTTGAATTTCGTGATTACGATTCTTTTTAAAGTAATATTCAGTTGCCGAAAGTCCTTTTGAAATCATTTATTATGTTGGTGAATAACTATAATTGAAGCTTCTAGGATATAATAATGATTATCATGAAAGAGCTCGAACTGCAAAGCTTTATCTCCGCGTCTATCATAATTATGTTACTGAGTAAATTGAAAAATAGATACAATATTTTCAAGATCATTCCTTAGTCAATTCGTTGGTAAAGGATGAGTCTAATAGATAATGAATAAGTTATACTATTTCATAGCCCTCAGTCCAGTGCCCGCAGAAAAAAAACGTCTAGACTATAAATCAACTTTTCATTTTAAGCATTGATTAAAGCACAGAGAATTTTTAGTTCATATAAAAAAGCTTGTTAGCGCAGCCCCTTTGGGGCTAAAATGTGGAACTCACATATATCCCTTCGGCTTACTAAAATAATTCAAAATAGTTCATCTGAAAAATCTATCCTGATTTCCAAAACCTATAATTAG